GTGAGCTTCCTGCATTTTGGGTCATTGCGTTTGGCTGTGTGAGTCTGAAGGATTGATGGACTAGTATCAACTTACAGAGCAGTTTTGCTATGGACTTAACTACTTGATATGGACTGGGCTGGGATGTTTTATTGATGCATCACTACTTCTTGATCCAAAGCTTACCCCTGTCACTCAGTCTCTGGCTTTGTTTGTCTGGTCAACCTGGTCTGACAAAGGCTGTGAGCTGGGCTAGTTAGCATTTTGAAACCACAGTGGCTCCAAGGGAGGAGGATGGGCTTTCTACTCCTGCAGAGTTAGGGGCTTGGAAACCCACAGGGGAGCTTTACCCTGTCCTGGGGGGTCACGATGACTTAGCATCCACTCAATGGCTGTGCGGTTTTTCAGTTTGTTGTTTGTTGTTTTTTTTACTGGGCTGTGGACTCCATCTGACTGCCGCTTTGTGTTCTGTTTTCACGTTATACAGAAAACACTAAGAGGAAGAACAGTGAAGAAGGGCTCTAACCCTTAGGCTGAGCATGGTGACGAAACAGCTGACTTGGGGGGTGGGGACGGCAGTTTTCAAACAGCCTGGAGCCTGGAGGGCCTTTCCATTGACCACCTTTGCCCCAGGATTATCTCAGACCACTGTGGGGAGAGGGGACGAGAGGGGCAGGAGAGAACCCACTGAACGTCCAGAGTACAACTTCATTCCTTCAACCAATATTTACCCATGGCAGACCCTGCCCTCGTGACACGGATCACTAATGCTCTGTCCTCAAGGGGAGAGACACACCCAATCAGTGGCAGCCCGGTGAGAGGTGAGGGTGATGTGTACAGCACAGAGAGCAGGCCGATGGCAGCCAGAGAGGCCCAAGCTGAAGATGCCAACCCAGGTCAGGACTGCCAGTCGGAATGGAAGGCTGCAGTGCGTCCTGAGCTCATAGTATATGCCAGGTTTAAAACACACAACCTCACTGCCATCAAGTCCAATCTGACAAACAGGGACCCTCGAGCACAGGGTGGAACCGCCCCTGTGGGTTTCCGAGGCTGTAACTCCTTCCAGGAACAGAGAAACTGGTCTTTCTCTGGAGAAGCAGCCATTGGTTTCCAACGGCTGACCTTGTGGCCCAACTCGTAACCACTAGGCCACCGGCAGTCCAGCCTCAAGGGCTATGTCAGAAGCGTCACTGCGAGGGTCCGGTTCATACATGCACAGATTTATTCCACACAAAATGTGTGCAGAATGCAAGTCTTAGCAATCACCATCTCCACGGTTTTGTAGCAACGCTCCTTTGACGTGGTGACTGACAAGGTGTGAAAGTGAGAATACCCATCACATGTCAACTGTTGGATCTTTGAGGACAGACCTCTTCCTGTCGTCTACACTTCAACGCCCCAGGGGACGCTGGCCTATCTCTGGGACATGAGCCCCAGGAGGTGTCTGAGACACCAGGTCTCAGGTTGGGAACACCCCCCAGGTGACCAGAGGCAACTGAGGCTTTCTGACTCCATTTCAAATGTCAAAGGCACTAGTTGCGTGACCCTAGAGGGCCATCTGGAAGCATCCTGGAACAGCATCGAGAAGAGAGCCCTTACTGGGGGGTGCCACAAGTCAGCATCTGCAAACCTGATCCGGGCTGTCCTGTGACATGCTGCACATGGCAGTCTGTTGACAACCAGGTAAGGGCCGGATCCATGATGGCCATCACCGTGGTGTCTGTGAACCGGAGCTGGGTCTGTGGTCACGGTGTTCCGAACCCGTGGCCATGGCCTGTCTGGACGCCAGGTACAGGCCTGGACCGTGACAGTGTCTCCCATCTCTGTGATGTCTATGAACACATGCTGCCTCAGCAGTGGGGTGGGGGTGGAGGGGCTGGCCCCTCAGCCCGCAGTATAAGTTTCATTAGCATTGGGGGCATCTGGTTATTCCTGTGTGAAATGGTGAGGATGAATGTGATTAATGTATACTTTGAGCTCAGGGGACAAAATTGCCCTTTGAATTTCTCAGAGCTGCTTAGGGAAAATGGCTGACAGAAGATCAAAATGGCTGACAGAAAACCTGGCTCTGGCTTGATGCTGCCAGAGGCCTAATCCCATATTTTGTTATCAATGGAATAGTTTAGATAAGGATTAAGATAAACTAGATAAGGATTGAACCTGTTTTAAGAATTGAGCTTAGTATCTAATTCTACTTTGTTTATACTGATTTCTTCTGATTATTGAGGATATAAGGATTTATAGAAATGATTATTGGGAAGTATGAAAATAGAAAGCGTGTAAGCTCACTTGCCTTGAGCCATTAAAATTTGATCTTTAAATGGGTGTAGGACATGTCTATAAAGAAGGCTCTGAAAAGATAAGCCCCACCCAGTGCTTTGGAGTACTCAGGACCTTTGCATTCCAAGAGACTTGCCTGGGGACAAGATTGACAGATTGAAGTAAAAAAAGGAACTCCTTGGATCTTTTAATTTTGAACTAGTGGTGTCTGCTAGAAGCTGGAAAAAATTTGGAACCATGAAGAAAACTCTTGTCTAGGACTGAACATTAAAGGGAGCCTGTGGGCAGGCTGAAATGCTTGCTAGGTGACCACCTGGATCCACTTGTTGAGTTGAAGTGGTAGAAATGCAGCAATAGAGAGACAGGTTGTCTGGCCACTGACACCCATGGACCTGGTTTACAGGAACTAGAGAAGACGAAAGCGGGTTGACTGGTCTTAAATTCACGACCTAGCCTAAGGGGGCTAGGGTTGTTGAGAATTTGTGATGGGGCCATGGTCTAAAGGCAAGGCGACCAATGAGAACCCTGGTGAGGCTAAGAGAGGCAGCCCACATTGAGTTGACCAGAACCTGACAGATGAACAGATTTTTCAGCCTGTGAACTGGTGCGTATTGCTGCAGACTTTATGGGTGGCCTGTCCTGATTTGACTTTGCTTATGGATGCGGACTCACAAGGTTCCAACTGGAAAGATATTTCACATCAAAAAATATGATTGTCCCCTCAGAGCACTGGGTTGATGTAAGCAGGCAGTATAGAAATTGGATACCCAAAATGGGACAGATAAAGGCATGAAGTGGTTGGCTTAAAACTTTCATAGGTGGGGGAAATATATTCATAGGATTATGGTGTAGGTGTTCATGTAAGTATAGGATATTTTTGTTTTGTTCACTTATAGAATGTTATGTTTAAATGAAGGTGGCACATATTTGAATTGTATGCGGTTTAGTTTTATCCTGTTAGGTACAGATACGATTTTGTTATTGTTTGTTTAAAAATTATATATGGCTAGAGTGTGTGAAAGTGTCAAATTGACAAGGGATGGTCTGTGGTAGTTACATAATCTGTTGTCAATTTGAGACTTAAGAGTGAAGGGGTGGAGTGAGTTTAGCCGGTCAATCAGGCAGCAGCTTGATGACCTAATTTAGAGGCGTGAAGGAAATAAATAGTTCGCTGAATGCTGGACACACACTCACTGCCTGCAAGACATTGTTGTTGACAAGCCACATGGAGACTGGCTGATGGCAGCCGGAGCCTCAGAGCTGGAGGAGCCACATGGAGACCCACACCAGCACTGAAATGCTTCTACCATCATTGGATCCACAAGACTTCCCACCCCCTGGGCTGCGATCTCCCTGCATTTGGCATCATTGCATGGCTGCATGAGCCTAAAGAGGAATTTATGGAGTAGTATCAATATATGGGGTAATATGGGAATTATGGGCTAGATCTAGACTGGGCTGTTTTCTCAATATATAATTGCTCTTTGATACAAAACTCTCTCTTATAGACGTATGCGTGTTTATGAATTTGTTTTTCTAGTGTATCCAGACTAACACACGTGGTAAATGGTTAAAGGGCTGGATTACTTAAGAAGCCCTGGTGGCCTAGTGGGAGGGTCAGCAGTTTGAAACAAGCAGCCATCCACGAGGGAGAACGATGAGGCTTTCTACTTAGTCTTGGAAACCCACAGGGGTAATTCTACCCTGTCCTACAGGGTCACTTTGAGTTGGCATCCATTCGATGACAGTGGGTTCAAGGTTAGGGACGTTTTACGTTTTTTTACACAAGGAACCTTTAAAAAAAGAAAATCCCTCCCTTTTCTTTTCCCTAGGGAGTTTGAACTCTTGTAAAATTATGAACTAGTGGCAAAAGAACTTTCCCAATCTAGTTTTTAAAAAGAAAGCAAAGCACTTCAAACTGTTTTTAAATGTGGTTAGACAATAAGGCTAATTCACACCTAGCTCAGTGGTCTCCCAAGAGCCGTGTTGAAATAAGGCCAAGGCCACACAGCTTTGAGACCAGGAAAGTCTGCCTCCTGACAGTCCCAGGTGGGCAGTTCAGTAGCCCAAGGCTCTATGCTAAGAGTTAGATGAGGCTCTTTGAGTTAGCCTCACACACATTGTGGGCATCCGATCTTAGCATTCCCCTGGGGGCTGCTCCTTTCCGTGCCATTTAAAGACATCACGGAGACCCTAAAACAGGGGGTCTTCCTTTCCACACGCACGACAACCCTGAGGGTGAAATCAGTTGTTTTCATACTGTACTGGCAGCTTTGTGAAGAATCAGAAGTTGGTTTTATGAAAACAAAACCACTTTGGTTTTAACCCCTGTGACCTCAAGTATATCCTCTATGTTTAGAAAACTCCTAATCTTTCAATACTAAGTTATTAACAAAAAAAGGGGGTGGGGCTGAATGCACAGTTGTCTGCCGTAATTTTTTCCTAACAGTTTACATGGAATAACACTTGGGTCTTTTCATATGAACAAGTGGAATCTTGGGGGGCGGGGCGGAGGGTGGGAGGGGAGACAAAAAAGAAACAAACACCAAAAAACCCCACTGAAATACATTTAACTAAAAGGCGAGACCAGTTCCGGACAACAAATTCCCAACATTCGCTAACACTTTTCAAAGATGGAAGCTGGCAGGGGACCTCCGGAACCATCCGTCCACAGGACTGGGGACGACGAGGGGAGAAAGGCATACGGCAAGAGAAAAGGTAAATAACTGGTGAGCAGAGAGTTATCCTTGACAGAAAATAAGAGTTTAATTTCAGGACATACACAGTTATTATGCAAGAGACCCAACTTTACATTTTTCTGATTTCGTTTGCCCACTTTTAAGTTTTCTCTGTTGAGACGAGTCACACAGACAGCGAGGTGGTGACAAGGAGGGGAGAGGGGACACTGCACTTGTCCAGATTCTGTCACAGTGGAAACTGAGACGCACGTGCTTATCAGGAAGAAAATATACATAAAACGTTCACATTTCAGCAAGTACCCGGTCAGCAAAGATGGCAGGCACGTGCTTCCTGGGGGGCAGAGAGCCCTGTACAACTTAGACTTTCGTTGGGCCAATTAAAGCATGAGGCACACTCCAAGGGCACTTCATTACAACTCCAGTGTCACATCTAATTTGTGCAGAGTGGCAACGTGCGACTGCCAAGGGCCGCTGCGGTCGGAGGCCCTACCACATGATCAGAGCACTGAGGTGCAAGCCAATGAATGTCAAACCAAACAGAACGATTCACAATCAACCCCTGGGTTTTGGATTTGAACTTCAGGCCATTTGGTAACCTGCGCCACACATAAACACTACCCATTCCCCCCCCCCAGAGGAGCAGAGAACACTGTATTTGACACACTGGTTCATGGCTGGGGGACTCCCAAATGTGCTCAGATTGAGAGCCTGGTTACAGAGATCTTTAGTGTGTGTCGCGCTCCCACAACGCACTGCGACTCTCTCTGGACTCGGTATAATTACAGAACGGCTTCTTCAGCATTTGACAGGTTTCAAAGGAAGGCACAATGACAGAGGTTTTGTATCTGATACATAATAGAACCAATGGCCAAACCCAACCTGCTGCTGCCCAGCTGATTCAGACCCACGGGGGTTCTGTAGGACAGCATAGAACTGGCCCTCAGGGCTTCTATCTAAGGCTATAAATCTTTAGGAGAGCAGAGAGCCTCATCTTTCTCTCCTAGAGCGGCTGGTGGATTTGAACCACCGACCTTGAAACCAACAGCCTGGGACTTTGCTCATTGTGCCACCAGGGCTCCTACTGGTACAGAGAACAGCTCCCTTCTTAATAACAAATAAAATAATTAGAGATTGTTTTCTTCTGTTGAACAAAGTCACCTTAAAGAGCCCCACCCCTTCTTCCTTCCACAGGATCCCGTCATGTGGGCCCTCCCAGCTGGTGGCCAATAGGGTCCACAGGAGACACGCCCGCCCAGGCTCCAGCTCTGAATGTCAGACAAGCCCCGCGCCGGCAGGTCATCGAGCGGGATTGCAGGCACTCCCTCTGTCACTGAGGCGCCGTAGCCACCGTTGGTTTTGTTTCTGCCTAGAGGGAATATAGATTTGTCACCGACATGAACAGGACTGATTTCATGGAATTGAAAAACAAAGCAACACACCATTAATCTTAGGCAGTGTTTCTAGTACAAGCATGGACGCCAGAGTAGCCTACACACCAGAAAAACACACACTCGGCGCTAGTGTCAGGATCCAAGAAGGCAGGACACAGCTATATTCTGAACGGGGAAAGGCTGACATCTTAAAAACAACGGGCCACACACAGGTAGCCACGTGGACAGCTGCCATCGAGGCGGGGCGCAGTGTGTTGGTGGCTCTGGAAGAGTGAGAATGCCGCCAACCCAGAGGGACCATGCTCGTGCCCGGCACCCTTGTGACGCTGCCCACGCCTGCAGCCCGCCCTCAAAGACAAACGAGGACCCACCCTTGTCCAATCCCTGGGACACGGAAAAGAACCCAACAGGGCTCTGGGTCCCCTGCCCGCAGCCCCCCACCCCTCCATGGCCGCTCCCGCGTCGGGTCGGTCTGGTGCGTGGCCGGCTGACATGCCGAGGCAGCTGACGTAAACATCCGCCTCCCAGCCCTCCGTGCCCGACAGCTGAGTGTAGGATGTTTACATGAGCGGACACTCGGCCGGGCTCTGCTCACTTCACGTGGGCCCTTCAGTCCAGGTGACAGGGCGCACGGGTCAAGACGGCCTCGGGGAACATGGGGTAAACAAGGGCCGGCATGATCACCTCCTGAGATGAGAGAAGGGTCTGTCCTGAGAGGAAGCGGGGAAGGGAGAAGCGGTGTTCGTCTTCTTCCTCACTGAGCGAGGATGCGGCATCTTTGGCCTGATATACGAACGCGGCTGGCGTCCCGTCTCACCCCTCCCTGTGGCAGCATTCACCTCCCGACAACTCCACCTGCACGTCCTCTTTGGGGCCCAAGAAAGAGCACGTCAACTGAACACCTGGGAGGTGGTCCCTGGCGTCTTGCACCTTCCCTGCCAGGTGCTGTTCCTTCTATCTGCATGGCTCCCCACACCCAACAGACGCTGCTACGACGCATAAGAGGCTCTTCATCCCAAACTTTCCACACCTCAAATCTGGAAGCAAAATCAAACACAAGAACCACCGCAGGCAAACTCTACGCTGTCTGGAAGTCCCCAGGCACCGCAGGGCTCTCTGGACCCTCCTGGCTTCCCACCTGGGCTACCTTTCCTGGGCGATGACATACGTGTGCACATGCTGGCACACACTCATTGTCTATGCAAGCTTACTGTTCCTGTTTCAGCAGCTCCTGCTGCAACCATACCCCTTTCTTCTCAGCAGTGGAGAGGACGTCTGCTTTAGGGGAAAACGGCCGTCAGCTTCCATTTCATAAGCGGACTTCGGATCCGGCCTGGGCTTCTGTTGGGAGCGTTGGGCACTGCACCCCGTCACTAACTGGGCGTGGGACCCAGCAGGGAACATGTGCAAAAGCAAGGCCGCCGGCCCAGGTACAGGGGCATTGGGTAGCACGCGAGAACTCACGGGAACGGCACTTTCCCAGGGAACACCCCGATTCCCGGGGGCTCAGGAGCCCTGGGGATGAGCCAGCAACCCGTTTGCATCCACCGCCCTCGGGGGTTCTGATGCACACGGATGCGCGCCTGAGAAGCAGGGCAGCCAACTCAGCCATCGCTCTGGAAGCAGCGCTGAGGGGTCCGAACTATCAAACGAGGAGCGAGTTGGCCGTATGCTGTGGGCTAGGAGCGGGCCACATGGAAGCCCCGTGTCCCATGTCCACCCACGGTGTGCGGGGCTCACGGAAATAGCATGACATAAGAGCACCTCAAACCAGCAGAAACTCTAAGACTGGGAGTCCCTCTACAGACACGTGACGACGTTTAACTCTAGCGGTGATGGCTATGGTTCCTTGGGGACCTCACGACCCTCAGAGTTTACATGTTGGGGGGAAACCGCAATCTTGCCTGCAGGTGGCATTCAGTGGCACAACATGTGCTACTCGTAACGCAAACCCTATCTCTTCCTCAGTAGTAAATGAACCAGGGAGGGACTTGGGGGATTTTTAGACTGTCAGAAACCATCGCCCACTTCTTCCCAGATGCCAAGTTCAAGGCTGAGGATACTGACTGGCAACTCTGATGGTGAGGAAGGCAGGCCTTTCAGGAGCAGAGCTGAGGGCTCGGCCGCCAGGGAGCAAGGCTGGGCAGACTGTCGCAGGGGATAGTGGTGGAAGCCCAGGATCCGGCATTAGAGCCGACATGATCTTTGATTCAGCTCATTAGGGCAGCATACTGTGGAACAAATGTCACACAACACGGATCGCACCGGTAATCCTGTGGCCCAGAAGGACGGTGGGACTGGCCGGACAAGGGCACGAGGCAGCCTCGTCCGGAGTGCCTGGCCCCGTGGTCAGCTTCAGGGCACGCCACACACTGTGACGCCTTTCAGGGTCGGCTCTGCAAACCCCCCACCTGGGAGCTGCTACCCATGAAACCAAATGAAACCCCACACTCACTGCCATGGAGTGGATGCCCACTCACTATCCACCTCCTGGTCCGCTTCTCCTCAGAGGTGACTCTGAATCACGCCCCAGTCCTAGAAGACCCCGTGCTCCAAGATCACATGGCACACACACACACACACACACCCACACCCCCAGGCACAGGGATGTTCTCAGGCCTGAAGAAAGCTCAGGACCTAGCCCCTGCCTCGGCCACCAAGGATCCCATGCAGTGACACAGAATCGGGCACGTCTAATCCAGTAGGCCGAGGGTGGGCTGTTATCAGGACCAGGACGTGGGGGCACTCCGAGGGGGGAGGCCATGTGCACAGGCGTATCCTCCCCTTTGCTGCACAATAAGCAGAAGTGTTCAGGTGTACTCCGACCCCCACTCGCCACCTCTCCGCCCGCCGATGCGATGTCAGACACAGGGTGATGCCCATGAACAGCTGGCTGGAGCAAACATCAGACTGAAAGCTCGGCAGAGTCACAGCTTCCAGTCGGGGATGTTTACAGCAACAGGCGTTCGGGAGTCGCTCCACGGGGGCAGAGGCCCTGGCTCTGGGGGACGGTGGGGAGGGTGTTCACCCGGGGTCTATTGGAGTGTCACGCGCTTCTGCTGCGCCAGGCCACACGGCCTTTCTGTCTGTTTCACATGTGCTCTCTCCCAGAACGCAGCGCGTCAACATGAGTACTCACCGGCACACTGGCAGCGCAGCCCCGGCGTGCTCCGGAGGCCAAGCCCAGGCCATCACCACTCACACAGCGGGGCTCTAAATCAGACAATTAATAATACAGTGTGACTCACTGCTCAGAGTCAGAGTCTAATGCCGTCTCCCCTCTCCCCATGCACCCCTCTGACGTCCAGTCCATGGGGCTCAGAGCCACCCCATGGAGTAGGTCAGGACCACCTGTGGGACTCCCCCAGCTGGGCATCGTCATGGAAGGGGTGGCTAGGCCCGCAGATCTTTCGGTTGGCAGCCGAGTGCTTCACCACAGCACCGCCAAGGCTCTTCAAGGGCGGAGGCCTGTCCAGGGAAATGAACGCAGAGAGGGGCGGGCCTCGCTGTGGCCTGTTCACAGAGACACACACTGCTGCCCTTCTGTCCCCACTGTACTTCCTGAAGCCAGAGGACCAGGTGCCAACAGGTAGCCTGCATGCCGTCCTCAAGCCCACAGGTTCCTTCCCGTGATGTCAAAGCGCCGTCTCCTGGAACACAGACAAAGGGGATGATGAGGAGTCGGGGCTGCGTCTGGTGACTTTCAGCAAGCACAGGGACATGCAGGTGCCGGACAGGGTCACCGGGGAAAACCACAGTGCGTCTCTAACACTTTGTCTTTTTACCCCAGAGAAGCTACGGAGGGAAGAATGTCCCTCTGCAATGGGATTGAAAAAGCTGCTTCCGGAAATGCCTTTTTGCAAATGGTACTTACAGTGTTGCAAATAACTCCGGCCACCACAAAAAGAAGGTTGGCCATCGTGTGGAGAGTGGATGTGGTCTTCATGGAGACAGGACAACCGTCATTGTTTGTTTTGAGGCCAATACTTACAAACAACCCCAGAAGCAAACTCAACAACGACTACTCGCCTGTCCAACCACTGAACACTCCCAGAATTAAATTAAGGCGAAAAGAGCCATTCCACGCCATGCCGAGGTGGATGCCTGGTCCTTGACCGATTAGGATGCTGCCTGTCAAGCTGCAACCCAAAAATTCTCACTGCCATTGCGTTGATGCTGACGGAGGGGCACGAATGAGAACCACAGAACCAGACACCGATGATCACGGGATCACCATTGTAGAACAGAGCACGCAGCGCCTCACACAACTGAACACAGAGCCACCATAAAGACCAAGACCAAACGCACAGCCGCGAGTCGCCGCCGACATGAGGTGTGTGATGCCCGCGTCAGGGCCTCCCAGGGGCTCTCCCTGTTCCTGGAGCGAAGGTCTTCCCTGTGCTCACCCGGACGTCGTGCACACCTAGAAGGGGCTGTTCCGCTGGAGCAGCGTTCCCGTATGGCAGGGGAAGACGCCCATTTGAGCTTTGTAAGAACTGTGGAACCAGCTCGGACCTTAAGAATTGTCCCTCCCCGTGACGTAAAAGTGTACACTCACACACACACATGTTGAAGGTAGCTAAAGAGACCAGTGTATGACAGAGAACGTGGCTGCAGCCAGCCACTGATCAGACATGTTTAAACATGTGTTGATTGGAATAAATCCATGTACACAGGAACCAATCCCCCCCCACCCACCCAAGTAATACTTTTGGACTGACACAGAAGGCAAACTCACTGCTACTGGGCTGATTCTGACTCACAGAGCCCGGACGGGCCAGAGGAGAACGGCCCCCAGGTCTCTGAGGCTCTCACTCTAAGGAAGCAGAGAGCCTCCCTCGTCTGTCTCCTGCCCAGCTCAGACAACAACAAGCCTAACTAACAGCCGGCCAAAAATGTGGACCGCTGTCCTGGTGACCAGTCGACCCGGTTCCTCAGGGACCCGGAGGGCTCCCTGCACAAGGGACCTTCTGTCTTTAAAACCAGGCCACCGCTGGGCACACAAGGCCGATGCAGTCATCCTGGCCACCAAGACAGACTGGAGCCAACAGAACCACTGGGCAGGGCTAGGTGATTGTGTGAACCAAGGTCCCTGGGCCTTCGGGTGGGTGGAGGGGCACTGACAGAGGCGGCTGAACTTGGCACCTTAGCATCCACACGCATGGCCTCCGTCATGGGCACCCACTATGCCTACAATTGTTGATCTGGTGGCTGTGGAGCACACAAAGCCTGTGCAGAACACGGAAGGCCTACT